GAGCATCCCGGTGCTCCCTGTCCACCCCTCCCAGTGTGTGTCCAGGAGTCCCTGAGCATCCTCGTGCTCCCTGTCCCTCCCTCAGGTACTGCACTCCGCGGCACCAGGACTTTGACGATCTGGAACGCAAGTACTGGAAGAACCTCACCTTTATGTCACCCATCTACGGGGCAGACATCAGCGGCTCTCTATATGATGACGTGAGTCCTGTGGGCTTCTGAGACTGGCGGGGGGGCTCAAACACCAGGGCAGGAGTGAACAGTCACGGTACTGGGCCTTCGGGGGTCCTGGCCACACGGCCCAGCCTCTCTGTGAGCATCTGGGTGGGCGTGGGTGCTGACGGCATGCCTGCTGCCCTGCAGGACGTGGCTCAGTGGAACATCGGGAGCCTGCGGACCATCCTGGACATGGTGGAGCGTGAGTGTGGCACGGTCATTGAGGGTGTCAACACGCCTTACCTGTACTTCGGCATGTGGAAGACTACCTTCGCCTGGCACACGGAGGACATGGATCTGTACAGCATTAACTACCTGCACTTCGGGGAGCCCAAGTCCTGGTAAGGGCTCTCCCCTGCTGAGTCTCTGAGCCCAGGTCAGGGGTTCTGGCACCTCGAATCCCGCTGACCAGGCTCCAGTGGCTTCAGCGACAGCCTCAGTTTACCTATCAGGTGTGGGGAGGAGATTGCTTCTTCCAGCCTCCCACCTCGGAAAGGAAGCACGCAGTTCTCTGAAGTATGGAGTTGCCCTCCAGAATCCCCCATGCTGAGCTGTGGCTCTGGGTCCCTTCAGCCATGACCCATGGCATCTTCCCCGCCACCACTGTGTGCATGACTTGGGTGCTGGGCGTCTCCTCTGGGCTCTAGACCTCAGGCGGGCGAACAGGGGGATACCCAGCACCACCCGTCTTCTCCTCCTGACTCCCTGGGTTGGTGGTGATGTGGGCACACTCATGTCGCGGTATATACCTGCTGTCTACGGACTCTGGTGACTTTTGTTCTTTGTCGGGTTTTAAGCGGCAACTTCTGAGCCGGGCGCTGCACATCTCCTTCGTTAGAAGGTTCCAAGGCCACAATCCCGTTATCGCTCACAGCTCTGGGAGGCGACGGCTTAGCCGTGACTTTGCTTGTACGTGTGGGGTGTACAGTGCGGGTGCACGGGTGGACGCCCAGATGACCCCATCCAAGGAGCCTTTTCTCTCAAGGGGAATCTGTGGCACCCAGCTGAGCCCTGCCTCTGAGCAGCTGCTTTTTTGTCCCCATCTTTGCACGGAGGGGAGGCCACAGGAGGAGGTCTGAAGAGATGTCCACCCCTCCCCCCACCCCCCCACCACCTTTAACTCAAAGCCTAGGCCAGAAAATAGGGTGCTAAGAGTTTCTGAGGCGTCCCACCCATCTCCTTTCCTGGGGGCTTGCTCTCACCTCATGTATAGACTGCTCAGCACTGCTCTTATCCCTTCTCAGGCCTCCTGTGGGTGGAGGAAGGGGACTCCTGCCATCTCTGTGGTAGGTGGACCACCCCACGTGGCTCTGAGCTTGAGAGAGATACAGGGCCCTGAAGCCTGTCCTTCCCTGGGGCCTCCAGGCCTCTGCCTCACTTCCCTGATACCAGGCAGCATCCTGGTCTTTGTAGTAAGGGGGCTGGAGGAGAGAAGAAAGGCTCAGAGGCTCAGCCTTCCAGGTCAGCCTCTGCGTGCTGGGAGCCGCCAGTTCATCCCCGGAGGCCTAGCCTCAGCATCCTCATTCAGCCGACTGCTCTCCAGGCCCAGTTTCTGCCAAGGGACTCTGGCTTGAGGGAGAGAGAGGTCCACCCAGCTGCCAGGAGGGGTCCTCCTCCTGTCTGCACTGCCCAGCCCCTCCTCCCTGGATCACCTGGGCCCGACCTGCCCGCTCCAAGAATTGACGCGGAGGCTCTCAGGCCACCTAGAGAGCTTCCCTCCAGGGTTACAGGAGGCGGTGAGCCCCCACAGGGGAAGATTTTACAAAACAATGTTAGTTTTTATATAATTTAAGAAACATTATTTGTACCAAAAAGCATTAGCCAATGTCCAACCGTTTCAAGAGGTAGAATGTGATGAAGAACCGATGGTAGTGAAGGCCCTGGTGAAAAGCCAGGCCCAGGAATTGACGGAATAACAATGGAAATGTTTGAACCAACTGATGCAGTGGCGGTGGCCCTCGCTTGTCTAGGCTAAAAAAACAGCAACCGGAAGACATCTGTATTGTGCCCATCGCACTGGAATGTGGAAACCATGAAACAGTATCATTAATATCACATGCAAGTAGAAGCTTTCTGAAGAGAATTCAAAAGTGGCTGCAGCAGTAATCAACAGAGTTGTTTGTTGTTAAATGCTGTCAAGTCGGTTTTGACCCATAGCATCCCTATATAGGGTTTTCAAGGAGCAGCTGGTGAGTTTGAACCACCAGCCTTGTGTTTCAAACCGACCTTGTTATCAAGTGCTTATCCTACAGGAATTCAGAAGAGGATGTGGATCTAGGGATCCATTGCTGGCATCAGGTGGATCTGCACAGAAAGCGGAGAACACCATAAAGATGTTTGCTTGTGTTTTATTGATTATGCAAAGGCTTTCAACTGTGTGGATCATAACATGATGAAGGATGGATGGGTATTCCCAAACACTTGTATTCTTACTGTGTGTAGATTTAGAGCCAGTCATTCAAACAGAACAAGGGATGCCAAATGGTGTAAAATCAGGAAAGGTGTGTTGTCAGGGCTGTATCCTTTCACCAAACCTAGTCAATCTGTATGCTGAGCAAAGAGCCTGATAAACTGGATTATATGAAGAAGACCGTGACTTGAGGGTTGGAAGAAAGCTCGTTAACAACTTTGCTTGCTGAAAGTGAAGAGAATTTGAAATACTTACCGATGAAGATCAAAGACTACGTACAGTCTTCAGTATGGATTGTACCTCAATGTAAAGAAAATGAAAATCCTCACAATTGGACTAGTAAATAACATGGTAAACAGACAAAAGATTGAAGTTGTCAGAGACTTCATTTTGTATGGGTCCACAATAAATCTCATGGAAGCAGCTGTCAGGAAAGCAAACAGCGTATTGCATTAGGCAGATCTGCTGCACAAGACCTCTTTAAAGTGTTCAAGAGCAAAGATAACAGTTTGAGAACTAAGGTTTGCCTGAGGTCAAGCCATGGTATTTTCAATCGCTTCATATACAAGTGAAAGTTGAACAATGAATAAGGAAAACCATAGGAGAAACAATGCATTTGAGTTATGGTCTTGGAGAAGAATATTGAAAGTACCCTGGACTGCCAGAAGATAAACACATCTGTCAGGAGAGAGGTACGACCAGCATGCTCTTTAGAAGGGAACCTGATAAGACTTCGTCTCTCGTCCTTTGGACATGTTGTCAGAAAGGACCAGTCCCTGGAAAAGGACATCATGCTTGGTAAAAGGGAGGGTCAGCAAAAAAGAGGAAGCCCCCAACGAGATGGACTGACCCAGTGGGCAGCAGTCATGGGCTGAAACAGACCAACCACTGTGAGGATGGTGCAGGGCCCGGCAGTGTTGTGTTCTGTTGTGCATCAGCTCATGACTCAATGGCATCTAACAATACAACAAGAAGTAGTATAGCTGAACAGCTTACAATGATACCACATAAGATTCTATGATGGAAATAGATGTTACTGAGGATTCTGTATGGTCTGTTAGGGAGGAGTTCTGATGGATGGGGTGAAATCATGAGTTTCCATCCTGGACGATACGTACCCCAGTGGTGAGCTGGGAGTCCTGCTTATCTCTGGGTCTTCTGTGCCCCATTGAGGGTGCAGAGTGAGTGAGGGACGGCGATGGGCAGGACAGGCAGGCACACAGCCAGAGTGTATGTAAATGTGTGGTTTTAGAGCCCTGACGGGCTTGTTGGGAGCTGAGGTGCTCCTGTGTGTCCTGCCTCCTCGGGACCACTAGGTGGCGCTCCCGCCTTCCCCACCACTGCAGCTGTGTCTGCTGTGGAACTTTCCCAGGTTCTTGTATCTTTCATAGACACAGTGGTAGGACATTGGTGATCCTGGAATCCCCTCACCATAGCTGGAAGGTGCTGTGACCCCCCAGCCCTGAGTATATGTACAATCCGACCAGGTCCCAAGCAACTAGAGATACTTTTCTGGGAGAAAATCCCCACTTTTTCTTTAGAACAACAAAAAAGGAAATGAACAAGTTGGCATTTGGAGTATGTTCCCGCCAGACTTGCTGGGCTCCTGAGTCGAGGGGGCTTAGGCTGATATGGGTGCTGCATGCCTGGCAGTGGTGGGAGGGGCAGAGGGTACCCGCCCAGGCCTGAGAGGTGGGCATGGGGTGCAGGTGCCCCCCAAGTGTGGGTACGATGTGGGGACAGTATCAGGAGCATAGAGGGGGAAGCCCGAGGACAGCCGAGGGACACTGGGCCTGGGATGACTTCTGGGGAATGGGAGGCTGGTTTGTCTGCTGTCTGAGACAAGGAATCAAACCCCTTGGGTCTTTGTCCACCTAGTGACCCTTCCAGAGGTTTTTCTCCAATGTCTCTTTCTCTGCCTCTCTCCTTCTCTCTGTCTGTCTCCCCATCAATCTTTCCTGTCTCTGTCCCTGTTTCCATTTCTCTCCCACCCTCAGCCCAGGTTTACCATTTCCCAGTGGCTCCTGGGGCACGACACTGACCTGGTTGGCTCAGGTGCCGCCAGGTGCCCCACAGCATGTTGGCCCTTCAGCTTCCAGCCCTTCCCAGCACCCTGTTCCCGAGCAAGTGCGCTGGGTAGCCAGTGGGCCGCTGCTGAGTACAGTGAGGACTCCTTTGGGAAAGTTCTGGAAGGCTCCTTGACCTTGGTCTTGATTTCTGGCCCCACAAGAGTGAAGGTAGCATAGGGGGTGGAGAAAGGGGTCTGTTGTTGGGGCAGGGGTTAGCTGTTAGGCCTTCCTCAGTGCTGTGCTCCCAGCCACCCAGCTCTGGGGACCTTCTGCACTCTCCCAGGACCCAGGTGTCTCAGCACCTCCTCTCCTTTTCATTGTCGTTGCCGGCACAGGTGCTGGCCAAGCTACTCGCTCCTCAGGAGCCTGGCTCACTCTAGTCCCCAGTCCTCAGCAGGGGCCTCTGTGTGTGTGTGTGTGTGGCGGCGGGGGTCTGACTCGGCGACTCTCAGCCCCTGTGTGCTGCAGCTTAACCAGTGTGTGTGGCCTCCTGCTTGGGCTGGAGGCCCAGAAGCCCCTCAGATGCCCAACCTGTCCTGCCTCCCACCCCCCACCCCCTATGGGCTTGAGAACACACCAGATGTGGCTGCGCTCCCACGTTGCCTAATTATGCAGTGCCTCTCACGTCGGCAGTCGCTTAATTGCAACCATTTTGGAGTATTTTGGTAGCGTGGTTTTTTTTAAGTGTCGACATACTCAGGTTTACAGCATTTTATTAAGCTTTTCTGGGTCTGTTGCTACTTTGGGCTTGTGATTTGTGTGTCAAAGTGACGGGAACAGCCTGATGTCGATGAAAGCAGAGAAATTGGCTCCGTGAGGCCCGTGGTACGGGGAGCTCCGGCAGCCGGAGCCACAGATATCG